GCCACTTTGAAATTGCTTCATATACCAGAATTCAAATCCTGCTACTGTTCAATGTTCGTTCCAGTTTGCCTTGAACCATAAAGTGACATTTGCACAAGTCTAGTTCTAGTTCTTAGTAGTTAGATCAGTTCCTAACTTACTTAGCTTAGTTCAATTTCCTAATAGTTAAATCATGACAAAAACAGTAATTTTTCATTGTGGGTTGTATACAGTAAAGCCTTATTTATTCAGAAATGGTTATTTTTAAATCCCACTTAATTCAAAAAATTTTCACGGTCTGGTATTGCACGATGTAAGTTTGAGCGGATAATTTGAAGCGGCAGTCAGCACCAGTCCGGTGAATTCCAAAACTTTGGGTGCTGTGCCAATTCTCGATTTTGATTTCGCCGCAAATCCGCGGAAGCAACAGCCGTTAAGAGTCACAAGGCAGTGCAATGTAGCGATACTAATAAGTGGCAGCTGAAGCACCCCACCCTTGCTACTTCCAGCACAAAACAAGGAAAAAAAAAAAGAGGGAGGGGGGGAATCGTGGCAACCGAAGAGTATGCCGGGAGAAAACAAGACATACTTCACTGTTAATTCAGAAATCCGCTCAATTCGAAGATTTCTCACGGCCCTAGTGACTTCGAGTTAATGAGGTTTTGCTGATACTACTTGAGATATTCTATTTGAAATTTTTCAACCAAATTAGTATTTGCTTTGAATTCACCTTTAACAACCTAAAATTTACTATTCCTACATCTCTACATATTATTAATGCTATTCATGCTTATTTTAAAGTAAAGCATCACTGATATGTCATTGTTACGTTGCACTGAACTTTGCTCTAAATGCACACTATCGTTCAGTGCATATTTATGCCATGTTTTCTTCAGTTATTGGTGTTTTAGTAATCGCTGAAAAATAAGCGTGGCATATTACCTTCATGCTTCAATTCAATTTTAAGTCCCGTGCACTTAGGCAACATGAATGGTTTCTTTTTGCCAAATTTTATTTCGCAGCTCTCTGATGCTTCATATGGTGTACTTTTGTGCATTGAAACGGCGCAGGAACTGGACGAGTGGAGTTAACACACAACACGAGCACTGACAGTGATGGGAAAGCTGCTACAATTGCTTAAAGCTGCTACATTTCCTTAAAGCTGCTGCATCTATGCTACAAATTAGCACCATTGCTCCAACCTGCTATGTTTCGCCAAAGCATCTACATCCATGCTACAAAGAAGCAGAACTGCTCCAAAGCTGCTATGCATAGCCTCCGAGATTACCTGGCGATGCGCTGCTTCATCTCGGAGGCCACCGTCAAGGGGATTTTTCAGCAACACCAGGTAGCAGATAGGCTGCCGCCTCTCGTGTCATTCGTAGGCAGAGCCAATCCAATACAATTCAATGCGTGGGCGGCGTGGGTTCATTATTGTTAGCCCATGTGCCCACAGCCGCACGTGGCTGTAGTTGTGCGTGGGCTCACTGGGTAGTGTGGGTACCTTGTGGCACTGTCGTTTGAGCTGAGTGCAGTTGCGGCTCATTCCCAGTTTTCAGCTGAGTGACTTGTTGGGCGAGTTGGTTCATTCTTAACGAGCTTATCGTGCGAAAAAAAAAAACACGAAAGAAGGACAAGCGCAAACTATCAACTAAATTGATTGGTAAAAGCGCACACATATATACACACAGGTCAACAAAGTCGCATGTCATATTGTGTGCCACTAAAATAAATTTTTTTTTCTGCTAATATGACATCTGACTTTGTTTACCTGTGTATATATATGTGTGCGCTTTTACGAACAAACCCAGTTTTCGCTGTGTGTCACAGCCTCGCAGTCGTACCGGTGGTGTAAACTCTCATTACGAGTATAGCGGTGTTGTATGGTTGTACGACTACGCGCATCCTGCTTGGTGGTGGCGTCATGGCACTCTCCACTGTCAAAGGTAAGTTCAATGTGGATCTCCTGAAAGACAAGAAGGCCAACCGTGATCTTTTTGAGGCGTAGTGTAGGGCTGGTGAAGGAGAAGAAGATGCTTTTTGTGTCATGTGTTGCCAAACAATCAACTGTGCGTTTCATGGTGTGACTGCAGTGAAGCGCCACTCGCAAAGCAAAAAGCACTTGGAGCGTACGAAGCAACTACGTGGTCCTGATGGGAAACTTAATCGACCAGCAGCAGTTCAAGCCATCCTGAATTTTTCAGCTGCATCCACGATTGCGTTGTATAATTATTTAAGGGGATTCCTTATAACTGGTGAGACACAGCTTCACCTCTGCACAGACCAATGTTTCCAGATTCGAAGGTGGGAAACTTAAGCAACCAACAGCAGTTCAAGTTGTCCTGAATTTTTCAACTGCGTCAACGATTACGCCGTATAATGATCGTGTCGCAGCCAGTGAAGCACTGTTTATCCTGGCTGTCTTACTTAAGAGGATTTCTTTTAGCTGAGGAGACACAGCGACACCTCTCTACCGAGCAATGTTTCCAGATTCGAAGGTGGCAAAAGACTTTTCGTGTAGCAGAAAAAATGTGTCGTGTGTCGTGTCGGATGGCCTTGGGCACTACTTTAAGAGCCTTGCGCTTAAAGAAGTCAACCGACTGAGTGTTTTCTACGGCATCTGTATAGATGAGACATCTCTTCCGGAACAGCGCTGTCAGCAAATGGACATCATTACGCGATATTTTCCGATGCCCACAAAATAGTGATTGTGGAACACCTGCAGTCCTTTCGGTTAAATAAGGCAACTGCGAATGACCATCTAAGATCTGTAGATGAGGCTATTGCGAGTGTTCTCAGTGCTGGCTTCTTTGCATTTTTTTAGTAATGGACGAAACGTAATGAAGTGGCTTAAAAATAAACTTATCCAGCCGCACGGTCCCCTGATAGATGTTGGGGAGTGTTCCCTACATATTGTGCACATCGCCTTTTCATGTGCCTTAGATTCATTCGGCACTGAGGCTGAAACTGTCGTAAATGATGTGTATTATTACTTCAAACACTCTGCTGCACAGTGATCCGGCTAGGAGCAAGGTCATTCTACATTACATGTTCGAAGTATTTGATGGCAAAACTTCCTCTTGAGAATCAGATGCTCCAACATGTCAGGTGCCTGCATCCGAGCTATCATAGTGTGGAATATTCAAGAGACTCCTTCAGATATCTTGCAAAGTGTGCACCCCAGATGGTTCAACCCGGTGAAGTTTCATCTCTTCTTGATGAATTGACGGTGCTAAATTGAACCAGTTACATGCATGTTCTGACAAGCCACTGAACTAATACTGAATACTGAAATACTGAATACTGGCATCAAGAAATACTGAATACTGGACAAATACTGAAATACTGAATACTGGCATCAAGTTTTCATCATGAAAGATTGTCAGGGTGGGCCAAAATATCCGCTATTGTCCAAGCTAGTTAAGGCACTTCTATCACTTCCACATGGCAATGGCGAGCGATGTTGAGTGTGGATTTAGTGAAAACTCGAGTCCTGCACAACAGGTCAAATCTTTCTTTCTCAAGCGTAAATGGCATACATCACATAATGTCATATTTAAAGAGGTTTGACAGTGACCCGTGCTCATTTCTAGTCAATTCTGATGTCATCAAGGCTGTCAAGGGGGCATCAAGACGGTATGCGCAGCGCCTTGCAGCTGAAGAGCGACCATCAAAGCGTATGCGAATAGATGCAGAGCAAAGTTCACCGAATGTGGAACTTATCAATGACCAAGCCAAAAAGGAAGTGGCTGAGAGAGAACGAATGATTAAAAATGCTGACTTGTTGATTCAGCGGGGCATGAAGTTGAAGAATTTCTCTGACATCGTGAGTGGGCGAGCAGTGCTTGCTTAAGCACGAAAAAAAATGACCGAGTGTATGCCACACTTGTATGTGGAGAAAAAAAGGAAAGAAAGCTTAGTGTGTTTCATGCAAGTGACATTCATGCATTGTGTACCTGCGTCTTTGTGCCAACCAGTCATCATATATTTGTGATACTAGTCTTTGTTTAAAGCTTGCATTAGTTGCGCCGTCATTGAACTCATGTGCACACTGTATTTAATACTTCATTTTCTTGTTTAATAAAAGCATTAAAATGCCATCTGACCTGGTTTTTTTTTTTTCGTTTTCACAATCTGCTACAAAACAGGGCAGCTGCTACAAATCATCATTTTTCCTGCTACAAAACCTGATACATAACACTTTTGGCCATTCTCATCACTGCACTGACGAACAACTAGTTCAATCTTATTTTGTCAGAAAATATATACTGTTAAAGGGAACTAAGAAAAGACAAAAACATGACCTGTCGCATGGTCAATGGTAATGACATAACAGTGAAAGTCCGCCTTCACAGTCACTGAAGAGCGCATTGCAGCCACACAAACAATGAGCTGGCAGGGTGCTGCTTGTCTAAGACCTAACAGTGCACGCATCGGCAGTGCTTGTGTTGTGTATTATCTCTACTAGGCCTGTTCCTGTGCTGTTTCGCATGTAAAGTTTAGGGAGACCCAAGAAAAAGCTGAATGCTTCCGCTTCTTCGCTAGGCAGCAACAAATTTTTCTGGCCTCTTCTGGAGTGCAATAACAACAAATGTCCTGTGCAGTTCAACCAAATACAGTAGCAAATTTCTGGGAAATACACAGTTTTTTCAGACCTAGTGGTCTCTTGACTTTTGACACAGACTATATTGTATTGCATGTCTTTATTTATTAATGATTTGAGATTTACTTGCATCTTCTGGTAAGCCATCTTAAGCTTTAAAAAAAAAGGTGCACAGGAACTTTGCCAGCAAACAAATGGCTTAAAATCTAGAAAATGGGGCTTGCATGATTGTATGTCACCTTTAAGTCTTTGTGTTTTTGTGCTGTTTTTCATTTGCTTGCAGTATGCTTTCTTCAATGCTGCCAGGTTGCCAGAAAACTTGCAAATGCTTTGTTCATCATAGAAAGGAGTAAAATGAACGTTAAAATTAGTAGAAAAGCATGTCTGGTATTTATTCTCCTCTAACTGCTCATCGCAGGACAACCATGCTGGGGCAGCCTTCCTTCATGAATTCAACTCGCGCGTCCTACTGCAGACGGGAACACCACGGTGCTTAATGTTCCTCACCGAGCTGTCCACATTGGTGCTTGGAAACAAACTAAAAGAAGAGGTGTACTTAATGGGTGATGCTGTGCCTCTTGGTGCCTTGAAGTTTTCCACAAAGAAAAACACCTGCACTTCTGTTGCTTTGCAAGCACAGCAAGCTTCAGATGAAAAACAATGCAGGGAAATTGAAAGGTTAGTGAGCAATCATAACTTGGTGATTTATCTCAAACATTTACTCTTTCTTCTGCTCATGTGGCCTCGTCCTAATGAGCAATGCGAAATACACTATACTCTCGATTATTCGCTCTTTAAATTGGAACTTTCGGTTAACTGAGATGTAATTTTGAATGTTTGATTGACCCGGTCTGTCTGCAATGGGTTTTAAAGTCTCCTAATCCAAATGTGCCATTGCATAAGTTAATTTAAATAATATTTTTTGCTTGCCTGGCTCGAAAATATATGCTGCCTTCGTCACTTCTAGATGAATATTTGCATCGCTAGCACTCACAAAGAAAGCCAATTGTCTGCTTGAAAAGCAGCTGAACTACCCCAACAACATGCACCAACAATCACATGTTGATTGCGGAAGAAAGAAAATTTTGAAAAACGGACGGTATGGCCTTGGTCTATTGTGTGTGGAATGCTTAAGTCACTTTCACCTCAGCGCACTGGCGCACTTGTGTTCCAAGATTGGGAAGTGGCGGCCAGCTGTCATGGACACAGCCCAATCTGTCCCTTAATTACGGATGGGTGCACGGGTCGTATATAATAATGAGTACCAGTATTATTCCTGACATCTAAAAATTTTGCTTGCTTGCAATCAATGAGAAATCTCTATGATGTTGCAACCTCCAGGAACAAATAACACAAACCAGTTTTATTTTTTGTCTCCTCCCCCTCTCTTGCCACTTTGACCCACCCCAATTTTAAAGTCCCCAGGTTTGGTATGTGTGAACGTTCATTATAACACCAGTTGGTAAGTTGCTTTGAGTCAGTTTAAGAAAACTTCTATTTATTCAAAACTCTAATTCAAATTAAATTCAGGGGTCCTATCTAGGTTCAGTTATCAACAGCCAACTGTAATTGAAAGTAGCATTTTTCTTATCTCTTAAGAAATACGCCGGCCTCTTTGGCATGGCCAGGGCAGGAATGGGAACAGTGCATTCAGAAGAACAAGAGTTGATGTGCGTAAAAGAGGGTCTGAAGGCAAAGCAGTGGGCCTGAATCATGCATTGTATTCTAAACCTCATGCGTCCTGAGGTAAGCTGGTGACATGTTAGTGTCCTCAGTGGGGTCAAAAGTTTGAGTTGTAATTATTTTGTGTCGCTTATAATTGGAGGCTCTGGAGTTGCCCTAATAAGCATATGGGTACAAGGTTGATTCCCATCCGTGGCAGCCACACTGCAATGACACACAAAAAGAATTTACACATTATCTTCCCCTATGGGAAACCAGGATGGGATGCGAAAACATCACAGGGGTACGATCGAGTTCCATTTCGTATCACTTGGCAATACAACCCAGTAAAAGTGAGAGTTGAGTGAATTCATTGAGAAGAAGATGTTTTTACGGGGTTAGAACGCTGACGTTCCATTTCAGCGTACCGAGCCCGTGTTGTTTCTGTAGAAGTTTCCAGCTGATGTGACGTTTACAATCGACTTTTTTGGCACAAAGTTTGCAGTCTGCTTCCCTACGCTGACGTTTACGTTTGCCTTCCCAAACCTTCCTCTGCTCCGCCACAGTAGCGCTGCCACGGCAACTAGCCCTGACGTTGATGTCGTTCACGGCTTTTTGCACACAGTTGCACAGAGAGAGAATGACGGAAGCACAAGAAACGTGCGCTTTATAGTGCGCTGGGACACTTGCGCCACCCTCAGGCATACCCTTACAGAAAGAGTGAGAGAGTTACATGCAATGATTTATAGTTCTGTACCTGTGGCGGGGAGAGGGGAGTACGCATTTGCATAGGAGAGGAGAATGCACTTGGGCAGTATGGGTGCGGATGCCGCAAAATGGACACTGGCCTAAGCGTAAGATGCTTTCGTATCTAAAAACGTCAGAGTAGTTTGTTTGAGCAGGGGTTATTAAAGTACCAGAGATAATAAAGTAATATAGTCATTTGAAGTTGCCCACTTTAGAGATCCTCTTAATCATATTGGGGCTTTCGACGCTTGGAACTCCTCTTTCGATCCCTGCCGGCGGCAAGTTATCTTTTCGTCCACTTTTCTTTCTCCACATTTACATTGCACACACTTGTAATACCATCCCCTATACTTTCCTTGGCATTATTGTCTGTTCTTATAATATTGTGTATAACAAAGAAAATGAGCTTTTGCCCCGCCGTGGTGGTCTAGTGGCTAAGGTACTCGGCTGCTGACCTGCAGGTTGCGGGATCGAATCCCTGCTGCAGCGGCTGCATTTTCGATGGAGGCAGAAATGTTGTAGGCCCGTGTGCTCAGATTTGGGTGCACGTTAAAGAACACCAGCTGGTCGAAATTTCCAGAGCCCTTCACTACGGCGTCTCTCATAATCATATGGTGGTTTTGGAACGTTAAACCCCACAAATCAAATCAATGAATCAAGAAAATGAGCTCTTCAATTTACACTTCTTTCGTTCATTCATATTGGGGGTCTTGTTTTGGCAGACTTCATGCCTTCAGGTAGTATGCGAGGGATTATTGGTCAGCTGCCAGCTGGTGATAAGATCATGTGCTACATGACACCAACAAGCAAAAAAATGAGTGGTCCACACTCGCCGTAATGGCTACTGGCGGCTCTGACTGACGCTCCTACTTTTAAATGCGCATATGTACCCTATAAAGTGGACGGAGGGATGACCACCACTGTAGCTTAGGGTAAGAGCATCGGACACGTTATTCGAAGGACGCAGGTTCAATCCCTGCTGGCTGCAAGTTATCTTTTCGTCCACTTTTCTTTCTTCACATTTACATTTTAGTCGCTTGCAATAGTGTAGTATCCTGCGGCGGACGCGCCGCACAGAGAACACAGGGCACGGCGCTGGAGCACTCGCTGACAACACGTACGCAGCAGCCAGTAGCCAAGCAGGAACCCTTTTATGTACACAAGCATGCTATTATTCACATATGTACAACACACTCTAGGGGCCAGCCAACCGGTTCGAAAACCGGAACCGAAACCACGACACCACTTAATCCCCCCCTTGAAATGAAGATGATGTGGGGTCTTCCAAGCAACCAGCGCACAGTAATAGGATGCACATGATACTCAGAAAAGGAAGAAAATGTAAAACATAATAGCGTGAAGATATGTACAGCAAACACACGAAAATGCAAAGGTAATGCATACTTGAGAAGGAATGACATCATCACATCATCCTCCCCTTGAATAGAAAGCATGGGGGGGGGGGGGGGGGGTTCAACAAATATAATGTTAAAACTGTCTAATCAAAGGATTTGCAAACCGATCTACAACTTTCTCAATGAAATTTTTTAGCTATCTTCGTCTCTTGAAAAGTTATTTAATTAAACATATCTAATTAAACACTATTTGAGAACATAAAAAATAGTCTAACTCCAGGCAACGGTGAGCAACATGCATTTAGTTGTGTCGTAATTACGTGTTCCGGCATATTTTTAAACTCTGGCTGAAGTTACATAGGACACCCCGTATATATCTATATATATATATATATATATATATATATATATATATATATATATATATATATATATATATATATATATATATATATATATATTGCCACCATTGATGAACGAGCCGCTGTGGCTCATACTCGTTTTGGGGCTGCGAAGCTGCGAAGAGGAAGAGAACATTTTCGTTCCTCTGGTTCAGGTTAACTCCTAGCCGTAGGTCTTGTTTTGCTCGTGACATTACTGGTGGAGACGCTGGGTACGTGTACTTCGGCTGTGTCAGCCATCTTAGAGACAGCTACATCTCCCAGAGCAAGAAGCAGCCGCCGCCTGCGTGGGTTACCCCCTGAATTTGGTCCATTGGCATCGACACCCAGAAATATGGCAACTTCGATATCAAGCCAGGCGGTCCAAACCAGCGATGCCCACGGTTCTCTTCTCGCGCATGTTTTTCATGCGGCACAGACACCAAAGCCGTTCCATGGAGACATCTTCGAGGATGTTGATGACTGGCTCGACCACTTTGATCGGGTTGCCACTATCAACGAATGGGATGATGTTCGCAAGCTGCGCCGAGTTTACTTCTACTAGGAGGATTCTGCGAAGACGTGGTACGAGAACCACGAGGGCTTCTTTGCAACCTGGCAAGAGTTTAGCCGACAGCTTCGTGACGCCTATCGCAACACCGAGAGAAAGGAGAGGGCTGAACAAGCCATATCCTGCAGAAACCAGCGGCCGAACGAACGAGTATTCATGTTTGTCGAGGACATGCTTCGGCTCTTCAAGCGCACGGACTCGGCCATGCCGGAGGAAAAGAAGGTGCGGCATTTGATGAGCGGAGTAAAAGAACAGCTTTTTGCCGGGCTCGTGCACAATCCACCGACGACAGTCGCCCAGTTCATCAGTGAGGCAACCACGATAGAACGTACTCTGCAGCAGCGGTCGTCACAATACGAACGCCATTTCCCGGCCACCGCATGTTCTATCGGCTCTGACAGCGAGAGACAGGCCCTCGCAGACTTCATTCGGAGTATCGTTTGGGATGAATTGCGACAGCTTCAGGCAGTGGGATCCCATTCACCTGTGTCAGCCCTCGCGGATGTGATTAGACAAAAAGTCCGGCAGGCCGCCACACCCTTGGCCCCAATCGCACCACCGATTCCCGAGGCCCCAGTCCTGACATATGCAGCGGCATTGCGATCCCCTGCACCACTGGCTACAGATCCTGCTATGCGGCCAAGGTACCAGGCTATGCAGCCATTCCACGACAATGCTTCGAGCCCGCCTCTCGGCTCAAGGTTTTCGAGCACACCCACCTATCTGCCATCTATCTATCTGCCTATCACCTATCTGCCTCAAGACAAAGTGGTAGCAAGGCAAGCACGTAGCGCACCTCGGATAACCGTCCGCTCTGCAATCACTGCGGCGAAGCGGGTCACGTATACCGGAACTGTCAATACTGGCAACTAGGTCTCCGCGGCTTCCACCCTGATGCTCGATGCCCGTGCTACAGTAAGCGCCGCCGCGAAATCGAAGCCTTTCTCACGGGCCAACGAACTCCTTCGACTATTTAGCACCGCCAGTCGAGATCACCATCGCCTCACCGGTTTACGTCACCCAGTTTGCCCTCATCGTCTTTCGCTCCTTTCAGGAGCCGGTCACCAAGTCCCTGCAGGGTAAACTAGGAACAGCGACTACTGGGTGTGAACTCGCGGCCCAGTGAACTGTAAAAGACCCTCCTTCGACGCAACCACCGGACGAGGACCATTCCGGTTTTGCAGTGTTCTCCGACAGCAGAAAGATCGTTTCTGCCGAAATCGCTGTCTTCGTCGACAATCATGCTGTCAACGCCCTCGTCGACACCGGTGGCGACTATTCCGTAATGAGCGCCACACTGGCATCTGAACTGAGGAAGGTTACCACACCGTGGCAAAGACCCCAGTTGCGCACGGCAGGTGGCCATCTGGTGATGTCTACTGGTATGTGCACGGCACGCATTTGAATACGTACATCGACATTTGGGGGCTCTTTCCTCGTATTGCGCATGTGCTCTCGGCCAGTCATTCTAGGAATGCACTTCCTTCGTGACGACGGTGCCGTCATCGACCTTTGTGAATTACTTGTGTCGTTCAAGGATCCTTTTTGCGCTGCAACTGACAGTACACAATTCCGGAAAAGAGCGCTCCGTGTTACCGACGATTCTCTGACTCTCCCACCTCAAAGCAGGCTCTTTGTCAAAGTAGAATTGGGACAGGACGTGTCTGACGCGGTAATTGCGGAGGCCAATTTTTTTCTGCTTATTTCACGACAAATATGTGTCGCCCGAGGAATCATTCAGCCTAGCAACAGGCATGTTCACCTGCTGGTCACGAACTTCAGTGACGAGTATCGCCACCTAACGAGACACACTGCCATTGCATATTGTGAAGAACTTGCCGATGCCGATGGTTCTTATACGTTAGCTTCATTTTCATTGAATGGCCACTCTGACGAGCCCTTCGCGAGCACTCTCGACGTAAATGACAGGCTATCTTTGGCTTAACGACTATCTTGGCTTTTGCGTATACTCGGCTCATTTCAAGACTGCTTTGCCACTACGTCAAAGGTTAAGCAGACACCACTTGCTCAGCATCGTATCTTCATGGAACCCCCCGAGAGACCTATCCGACAACAGGCCTATAGAATGTCGCAAAAAGAGCAAGACGCTATACGTGACCAAGTCCAGCACATGCTTCAGGACGACGTCATCCAGCCATCGACCAGTCCCTGGGCTTCGCCAATTGTGCTAGTAAAGAAGAAGGACGGTGCGTTGCATTTTTGCGTTGATTATTGTAAACTGAACAAGGTCACCAAAAAGGACGTTTATCCTCTACCCCGAATAGATGACTCATTGGACTGTATACGCAACGCTAAATATTTTTCCTCCATGGATTTGCGTAGCGGCTTCTGGCAAATCACAGTGGATGAGCGCGACCGTGAAAAGACTGCGTTTATTACTCCCGACGGCCTGTACGAGTTTAAAGTGTTGCCTTGCGGTCTATGCTCAGCGCCAGCCACTTTTCAAAGAATGGTAGATACGGTTTTCATGGGGCTCAAATGGCAATCATGTCTTGTTTACCTTGATGACGTCGTGGTTTTTGCAGACACGTTTGAACAACACGTCTAACGCCTTCAGGCAGTTCTTTAGGCAATCAGAACAGCGGGGCTTTCTCTCAAACCCGAGAAATGTCATTTTGTATATGAAGAACTGAAGTTCCTTGTTCACGTTGTGAGCCATGCCGGCATCCGCCCAGACCCAGAGAAAACCCTCGTCGTTGCCGCCTTTCCTGTGCCCACAAATAAGCGCGACCTACGCTGATTTCTGGGGCTCTGTGCGTATTACAGGCGCTTTGTCAAAAACTTTTCGAAGATTGCTAAATCCCTCAACAACCTTACAAAAGACGGTGTTTTGTTTGTTTGGGGTCCCGATCAGTGCCAAGCGTTCGACACCCTCCGAAACCTCCTTCAGGCTTCGCCTGTACTGGGTCATTCTGACGAAAGCGCCGACACGGAATTACATACTGACAGCAGCAACGTTGGACTAGGAGCAGCATTAGTTCAGTGGCATAATGGCGTAGAGCGCGTGATTGCTTATGCAAGCAGAACGTTATCCCCCAGCGAAGAAAAACTATTCGGCAACCGAAAAGGAATGCCTCGCTGTCGTCTGGGCCATAACAAAGTTCCGCCAATACTTGTATGGCCGCCCACTCAGGGTAGTTAGCGACCACCATTCCCTTTGTTGGCTCACAAAGCTCAAAGATCCTGTGTCTTGCACGATGGAGCCTTGGGCTACAAGATTTCGATGTCACTATCATCCACAAATCTGGGCGCAAGCACACCGACGCCGACTGTCTCTCACGTGCACCGGTCGAAAATGCCAACACTGACCTTGAAGACGACGAAACTTTTCTTTCTGCCGTATCAGCAACCCGCTTGGCTGAGCAACAGCGTCATGACTCGGAGCTCTTCCCGTTCATTGACTACCTGGAAGGACGCAATTCCCACCCTCCACGAAGCTTTGCACGCTCACTATCCTCCTTTTGTTTCCGCGATGGAGTGCTTTATAAAAAGAACTTTCATCCTACACAAGCTATGTATCTGCTTGTTGCACCAACTACGCTACGTGGTGACACACACACGCACACACACACACACGTCTTTCTTCTATACCTGCTCCAAATTTGAATTTTAGTTTGCCAAAAGTAACATTGTGCTGCTTCCAAAATTGCTCCAAATTTTATGTTGGCTTTTGCGCCTCTGCTTCTATGAAATTCATCAGGGAAGAGGGAATTAATATCTACTGCTTTCATGTATGCTGTCTGATCTGACTTTTTTTTTCTCCAATTTATTACCTTTGGCAGCCTTCTAAAACAGTGGGAATCATTTTCAAGTATACTGCTGCGAGAGTTGGGTCTTCTAGCAGAAAAGTAAGTTTTCCTTGTGTTTCTATTTGTCTTGCTAGAGATGGATGACTAGCCGTGTTTGCATAGCCTTATTTCGAGAACTCAATAGGTACAATGAGCTAGCTTCATAAAATCATTGTCGTAACCCAGGGTTATTGTTTATTGGTGATTTGTTTAAATTAAGAAGTATAGTTATCCTAGTTCCTTTAGCATGTTCGTTTTTCCTTTTTCTTTCATTTCTCATATTAGCCCTCCTCTGTCAAGTGTAATTTGCATTTGTTAAAGGGCCAGTCAACAGGCTCCAAAATGCACATGAAAAGCTCGCGCTTTTTTCCTGCACGTGACCAACCTCCTTCCACACGCAGTGACGTCAACTCGGCGTTCGCTGGCGTGACGCAGCACGCAGCTCGTCGATTGGTCTAAACCAGGTCTCAAAAACAGTAATGAAGTCAACGTCACTGATCACCGAGTTGACGTCACTGCGTGTGGAAGGAGGTAGGTCATGCGCAGGAAAAATGCGCGAGCTTTTCGTGTGCGTTCGGAGCCTGTTGACTAGCCCTTTAAGAGGCTTCAGCAGTGCAGTACTACATAGTCAGACCTTGACAGAACAAACCTCCATTTAATGAAATCATCATTAATTTCATCTCGCAATCCATAGCTTCATTGAAGTTTTTTTCTTGCTATTTCTTGCAGTTCATGTTTAAGTGGGCCATGACACAGCTCCCAACAATTTATGGTTTTCAGTAAAAACTAGAACTAGAGGGTCTACTATGCCTTTATAGGTATGTAAAGTGGGCCATAAGAGAACATTTCAGTGCAACACGGGCTTTATAAATCGCTAGATGTAAATCCAACGTACCGCTGATGACCACCTTTTTTTCCATGGTACTTGTGACGTCATGTGTTAGAAGAAGTGATAGGTCACCTTCTACCAAAGTTTCAGTCAGCGCTAATCGTTCAGTTTCATCACTAAGTTGAAGAAAGCTAAAATATCTCAATTTCATGCACTGCTTACCACGGAATAATATTGTTTACGGTAATGCAGAGGCTCGCACAGCTAGCTGCTTCTTATTTCACGGCTTGCGAGTGCGTCACTGTTGCCCAAACTCAGACCGCTCACCAGTATATAAATATATTTAATTATAGATTAAGTGCTTGACCAAGTGGGCTGAAGTATCCCTGGCTTAATTGTGAATGCACAAGGATTAGCCCATATAACACAGATCATGATTTAAAACGGGGTGTTGCAGCCTCGTTAAGTAAGTCTTATTGCACTCACATTCCCAATCTCTCATTAACAAATGAAACATTGGTAAAGAGAAACTTACCTTTTGCAGGTGACTTTCTACACAGCAAAATTGCTGGTGAGAAAGTAATTAAGTTTGAAGCGTTCTGTGGTAAGGCTTTTTGTTGCGTAAAAGTAAACTGTGCTCTCTTACGCCTGCAAGTCCACACCGAACGTCAATGCCTCTGCAAAAGGCAATCTCTGTCAAGGCCAGCAATCGAGCCCGCCTGACGCGACCAACTCAACGACGTCATCAAGCGGCGGCGGCGGTCTGTCACGCAACGTACCGTGAACCTGTTGAAGCTATCGGCGCCTTCCAGTCTGGCGAGTCTTACGCAATGCGTGGGAACGTAATTTGTCCTTGGCTGCAACCGCGCGCAGCAATCGGCGCCTTCGAGTCTGGCGAGTCTTGCGCAACGTGTGGCAACATCCATCGTCTTTGGTGCAACCCTGCGCAGCGGCGGACCCCATTGGAAGATTCCGACATCACGGCCAGCGGCGCTTCTGGTGGGACATTTGGTTACTCAAAGGATCCACCTGGTGCCCATGAAAAAAGCCCTGTGGCGTGTCACAGCAGCTGACCTATGCGTCAGAGAAGCCTCTCGTCGATTCGAGTCCCTTTGTAGTCGGCGCGCCCAGTGTCCTTGGCCGCGGCGAGTTTCGTGGTGCCCATCGTAACCTCGTCGGTGGTGTGCCTCTTAACAGCTTGCGAAAGAAGACGTCTCGGCTCTTCGAGTCCCTAAACTGTCGGCCCCAGTGCTGAATTTGTAATGCCTCTATTTCTTTGCTGTACATAAACTTTGCCTTAACTCACCGTCGTCTCGTCCACTCGTCTATCAGCTCTGTGCAGAAGCAGTCGCAAGCTGAGTATCACACGCTATTAAACGGCTGGTGACCGTGTCGGCAGAGTTCATAGCAGTGGCTCCTTCGGGACCGTGTTTGCGTCTCGTCTTCGTAACAGTGGTTGGCAGCTGCGGGATCGGCCGGCGTCAGTAACATCGATGCGGTGAGTGCCTGATGTTTTCCCCTAAGTTCACCAGACTACTCTAGCACAGGTTATAGTAGTTTAGAGAAAGGCTGTGTGAAGCATTAGAGTGAGCTTCGATTGTTTCAAGCCAAGTCGAAGTGCTTTGAAACCAAAGTTAATGCGGAGGGTGTAAACACGGAAGTGTTCAAAATTGCTTGCGCATCTTGCTAGTAGACTTATAGTGAGTATGGCAAGTAGATTCTTAACAGGGGCAAATAGCAAGAGGCTAGTGTGAACCATGGAGAACCTTAAAGTGAAGAAACTCATCGAAACTTGTGAGGAACTCTGCATTACTTTGGGCCGTGTGAAACGAAAGCGAGCGATCCTTGAGGTCATGAAGGATGAAGGAGTGTCGGCTGAGGAAGATGATGAGGCCTGGGCGGATATCAAAGCACGCCACGAGGAGGCTGAAAGGCGAGAACGTCGTGAGCGTGAGGAAGCCGAGAGACAAAAGCGCCTCGGGTTGAAACGAATAGAATTGGCAATCCTGCAGTGTTCGCAGGTGCCTAGCGTAGCTTCTGCGACAGTTCAGGTCAGCGGTTATAAAATTTGGGATCGACTGCCACCATTCGTAGTAGGCGAGGACATGGCGAAGTATCTCGTCAAGTTTGAACACGTCTTTGAGCGAAATGCTTTGGAGCCATCTCTTTGGGCGCAGAACCTGTTAGCTCTTCTTCCCGGGAAATTGTCCGACGTGATAACATGCTTGTCGAGGGAATCGTTTGAGAGCTATGACGAGGTTAAGGAAGTGCTCTTGAGACGTTATAAGTTGTCACCCGAGGCTTTCAGGCAAAGGTTCCGGTATGCTAAAAAGGGGAATGAGTCACACTTTGACTTTACGTTTTGTCTCAAAGCCGATTTAATTGAATGGCTCAAGGGCGAAGGTGTTTATGACGATCGCAATAAAGTGGTAGAATGCATTGCATTGGAGCAATTCTACCGCTGCATCGAGGAGGATGTCAAGCTTTGGCTGCAGGACAAACTTGGTGAAGTACAGCTAAACAAAGCAGCAGAGTTAGCTGAGGAGTATTATACTCGCCAAAAGTTGCATAGCAGGGCAGTGCGCCTTGAAAAGGATAAAAGAAAAAAGGGCTTTTCAAAGAAAACTGATCAGCGGAAACCCACTACACACCGTAATTTCAAGAAGGACCCGTTTCTTACAAAGGATACTGTAGGGGAAGGGCGAACAGAAGTGGAGAAATCGAGTGAGGTTCATAAACAACGCACTGATACCAAACGGGCGTTTGAATCAGGAAAGCCGCTAATCTGCTACAACTGCAAAAAAGAAGGGCACATTGGGAAAAACTGTAAGCAAAAGTTTGCTTTCGCAACAATCTGAGAATCGGAAAAGAACATGTGATTGTTAGACCTGCATCTCCAAGAAATTAGTTTGAATGGAAAAACGTGTCAAGCACTTCGGGACTGAGCGGCAACCATGGACATTGTTCATCCTTCGTTGGTGTCTCCAGATGACTTTACAGGAGAATAATAAAGTTTTACCACCACAGGAGAATGCGCGTGGATCAGACAAGTCGCCGAGGAGCAGAGTGCTTGCTTACCGATCGCTACGGTTGTCATTGAAGGCCCGTTCGGTAAGCTTCGCACCGAAGCGGCTGTGTCTGCCGCGCTCTTCGATCGTTTTCGTTATCCTTTTTCCAATAACTCAAAGCAGCTACTCAAAGAGCAGGATAAATCGTTCTTCTCCAACTTAGCGTACATGGCCCTCACGCGATCGCAAGCGCGGAAGCTTTCGCAGGAACTTGATCTTGTTCAATGTGGTAAAGCACAAAGTGCAAAAGCTGCTGATCTGTGTGACCTTGGCGGTGAGTCGATGGAACCTCAGACATGAAATTCTCTGTGTGAGTCATTTGAGCAGTCACTCGAGTGGCCAGTCACCGAAGCGACTGGCGTGGTCTTTGTCGGCGGAGAAGACGACATGGCGCCATTGAGTCAGAGCGAGAAGGGTGCAACGCTCTCGCCTGTAGCGGAAAGTTGGAGTGAGCTGTCGAGGGTTGATCGAGAAACGCTCATTCGAGAACAGCGTGAGGACCTCTCAATTAAAGCGTTAATGGAAAGCATAAACTTGGGAAAAAAGAAAAAGAATGTTTCCTTTTTTCAGAAAGCAGGGCTCCTGTATCGGAGCTACACAAATGCGCAAGGTCGAACGTATGAGCAGCTCTTGGTGCCACAAATGTATCTTCGCCAACTATTGGAACTGGCGCATGAAAACGCGTGGGACGGGCATCTTGGCATTAAAAAGGCCAACGATAGAGTTTCCCTTGAGTTTTATTGGCCGAAATGCTGGAAGGATATCGAAGACTTTGTACGCTCATGCGACACTTGCCAGAGAGCGGGGAAATCCATGGACAAGTGGAATTTACCCATGAAGCTTGTGCCAATTATCACAGAACTTTTTCGGCGCCTAGTAATCGATATCGTCGGACCGTTGCCAGAGTCAAGGCAAGGTTGTCGGTACATCCTGACGGCCCTCTGTGTAGCCACAAAATTTCCGGAAGCGATACCACTTAAGGAGCTCAATTCCCCTTATGTCGTGGATGCAGTGCTATCTATATTTGCACGCGTCGGATTTCCTTCTGAAATCCAAATCGACAATGGTAGTGTCTTAACCAGCTGCCTTACCTCTACCTTAATGGATAAATGTGGAATAAAAGTAGTGCACAGCTCTATCCATCACCCGCAATCTAATCCGGT